GTCAAGCGCATTGAGCTACTTTTTGGAAATGCGCCTCGGGCTGCTCTTGTCCAATCCCCTGGGCTTTCATCACGGCCTCCACGGCAGAATGACCTGCGATGTCCTTTGTGTCCAGTATGCTTAGATCCTGACTCTCCTCTTCGAATGGGTTGCCCATCTCCTTTATAATACCGACGAGACAGCGAACATCTTTCACAAATGAGGCATGTACACTTGGCGTCTGATCATGATGACGTGTGTCTGCTGCTTGCTTGCTGTCTCCAGTATTGGTTCCCGTCCTGGAATTCTTCGATCACCCTAGCAATTTCTGGTCTTGAAACCACCCAGCGACGAAGGCCACTAGGATTGTTAGTTAGCCCAACCGCGCCACCGTTTCCTTTGATGCAGACATTATTCTGCTCATGTGCCTGGTCAATCAGGATTAAAGAGAACACCCTCTGTGTTTTCTCAACTGTGAAATGGCCTTCACTGAATTTTCTGGCTACGTCTGGGAGTTTGGTATTGAGTTCGGCGATGTTCTTCAGGTGCACCGGTATCCACCTAGCATAGTGGGCATGATCTAGAGAAAGGAACCAGGTGACCAGCTCTGTCAGAGCATCGAGGTACATCATCAATGATCCCTGCCTGAGAGAACGCACATACACGCGAAACTGGGAGATGTTGTCTCGTCTCTGGAGTCACCAGTCTTCAAACGCGGGAATGTCCTCTGCATCCCTGTTTTCTCCCAGACAGTAGTGGTAGTAGGCATGGTGTAGCAGGATGTACAGTGCTGCTGCAGTCACTTAATGTGCTCTTCTTGTGCGCAAGACATGATATACTCGCAGGAATGAGTCTGCTGTCCTTGCTGTCGCAATCTCGGCTTGCACAAGTGCTTGCCACCCAACCACTCCCTTGCAGCCAGTCCCCCAGTGTTTTCAGCACTGCCATCTCTATGTGGAGACCACCAAACATCACCATTATATGGTCTTCATCATAACTCTCTGGACACTTCCACTGTATCTGCTTGGCCAAAGCAAACAGTGGCTGATCCAAGGTGACCACTGGTGTCTGTCCAGGATTCAGGTTTTCTACAGCTTTCTTCACAACGTCCATTGAATGCCTGATCATTGCCACAGTGTGGGCACTTTCCAGGAAGAGTGGAAGCAGCGACGTGGGGCAGATGACTCTACCCTCTGGTGGCTGTCGGCTGGCATGAAATGCAACCCAAGATGTGTTTTCATTGTCCACTGTACCAGTGTTGTCTCCCAGGGCGTGTTTTGCATTGCCTAACCAATGGTATTCTTCATCAGTCTACTGTTTGAAGGCTCCTCTGGTCAATGACGCAACTCCAGCAGCTGGGACAGGAGACGTCTTGATCCTGCTAGTGACAGGGGGTACATCAGTATAATAGAGCGGCAAAGGGGCGACAGTCTTGGACCGTGCATCCCCAGATTCTCCCACAACGAATATGCCCCGATTTACTCCTTCACCAGTGTGAGAAGGATGTTGTACGAGGGAGATAGCGGCACCTTGGAAGGAGTCTTTTGATGTTGTTGCACTAGGATTGTGATCTATGTTATCTACAGCGGCAATTGTGAAATCTTCGCCGCACACTTTCTGAGGTCAGACCACTTGTTCTCTGTAAAATTGTTGGCAGACATGGTTGCCCATCTCTGCTGAGAGCTGGAGCACTCTATCATAAGAGATACTCAAGCCAAGGTGTGACAGTTTGTCGATCAATTCCTACTTGTGTGTATGAGCATGCAACATCATCCCAATGTATGTTGGATGTGGGGTCTCCTGTGCAACACTGTGCCTGACACAGGTGGATGATGTGGTGCCACGTGTTCGCTTGTGTTTTACGCAGTTGAACTTCAGTATCTAGGCTGCGGTAATTGCTGCAGGGTTAGTGTCTTCCATCTGGTCCTTGATGCTAGGTCTCTGAAGGATCAGGCTGACTAAGGCAAGCAGCAACGGTTGCGACAGATTCTTCTTGGCATCCTCCAAGGCACACTGTGAATGGCTTGGCTTCTCCAAACATGTGACGGCGACAAGATAACGACACACGTAGATCGAGAAGCAGCCATGCAATGTAAAGCAGCCATTTTGAAATCCAATATGGCGACCCATTAGTACAAATACGCAATGCAGATTGTTACCATGGCTTTCTTGACCCAAAAAACATACATTTAGACACCAAAATGAAGTAAATAGCAGCATTAGACCCAGAGATAATCACAAATGTAGATTTCAAATGGCGGCCATTTTGAAATCCAATATGGCGACCCTTTAGTAAAAATACGCAATGCAGATTGCTACCATTGGATTTCTTGACCCCAAAAACATATATTTAGACACCAAAATGAAGTCAATAGCAGCATTTGACCCAGAGATAATTGCAAATGTAGATTTCAAATGACGGCCATTTTGAAATCCAATACGGCGGCCAGTAAGAGAGAAATCCGAGAGGCCCAACATCTGAAAATGATTTCAATATGTTAATGTACATTTGTGCCAAGTTTGGTGCTTGTATCACAAAATGCACAATAGGTTTGCTAAGCGGCCCCACTAATATTTCCAGAGTCCATAATTATGTTCATAATCGGAATACTACAAATCTGGTGTTATTTGTTCATTATATTATATATGTTGTAGTTTGTACTTCCTTAGTGAAAGCTAAGAGAGGAGATAGCTTTTGAAATTTGATACAATTATCCTATATGGCGGATGTTTGCTTGGTTACCATGGTTACCATGTGCTTAGAATAATTAATAAATACTATAACTTATTCTTTGATGTCTGACTAATATACATATATCATCGTTGCTGTATTTAGTCAAGGGATATAGATTTTAGAAATTTCACCATTAAGGCGGAGAGCACGCTTGTCTGTCCCGGGCCACTTTCTCCAATTTCGGCACATCTAGGCTCTGGGTAATTGCCTAATCTCTTATTGAGCCTCTATAGCTTCTAGTTGGTCTTCCTCTCTTTGTCTTTCCAGCTGGTTTCCAATGTCATATCCGAAAGGGCAACCTCGTCGTCGGCATTCTCAGAACATGTCCCAGATATCCCCATCTTTTCTTTTTTATCGTTGTGCTGATATCTTCAATTCCAGTTCTTTCCAACACTTCATTATTTGTAATAAATTCATTCCATTTTGTTAGTGAAATTCTTCGTAGGCATTTTGTTCGGAACCTTTTTAATTTTCGTTGAATCGTTTTGTTTGTTTTTTACATCTCTGAACTATACGTCAATACAGCCAAAATATTGCTATTATAAATTCTTAATTTCGTCTTCAATAAAAGTTTTTATTTTCACAAAAGCGATCCATGCATTTTAAAGACTTTGGTGGACGTCGTCAAGGCAATTTTGGATATAATGCTGCCAAGGTACTAGAATTTACTAATTTCTGCAAGGGATTCTCCATAAAGAGTGATGAGGGTAGTTTCTGATGATAGTTGTAGTACTTCTGTTTTGGATGCATTTATTATAAGGCTAACTTTCCTCAACTTTTGCTAGTTCGTCTGTTTTTGATTGCATTTCATGTACAGTGGTGTTTAACAGGAAGATGTCATCCGCAAAATCTAGATCTCCTAAATATGTGCCATGTGTCCATCCAATGCCTGTTTCAATGTATTTACTCTGTCTCATGACAAAATCGATTACAATTCCAAAAAGTACAGGTGATAATATACAGCCTTGTCTAACACAAGTGTTTATTTAAAAAGGTGTAGATAGTTCCCCTTCAACTAGGACACAGCAGCTTGCATTGGCATATAACAATTTTGTACGGTTTATTATTTTTGTTGGGATGCCATAAATTGCAAGGATTTTCCACAGGGCCCCTCGGTCTATGCTGTCAAAGTCCACAAAGTTCAAGATAATTGGGACATTTCATTCTTCGCTTTGCTCACGATATTTCTCAGAACAAACAGTTGATCTGTACATGATATTCCTGGTCGAAAACCCGCCTCTTCCCCTCTTAGTCTCTCATCTGTTGCTGTTCTGATACGAGACAAGATAATAGCGCAAAATAATTTTCCAGGAACTGATGAAAGCGTTATTCCTCTCCAATTGCTACAGTCTTTTAAAGTTCCCTTTTTCGGGTAGTTTTATTATATTTCCCTTTCTCCATTCCAAGAGGTTGGGGGGGGGGGGGGGGGCTCTCGTGGCCTAAAGGTTAATGTGTTCGCCTCTGATTCAATAGGTCCCGGGTTCGAACTCAGATAGCGAAGGCATTTTTCTTCTCAAAATTGTCTCCTTTGACCTTTTTTCCTGCTCTTTGGCAATGGTATGTCGTCTGCTTTCGTCTCCACTTTCTGCCCCCACCCCTCACCTTCGTTGCCCTCTCCTCTGGGCTCCTGACTCTTTCTGCAGCCTTTCTGCTGCTTCTCCTTGGCTTTTTTCTACACCTAGCCTTCTCGGACAAGGGCGAAACATCTATGAGGTCCCGTGTGCAGGTTGTGCACGTCAAAGATCCCTTGGTGGTCTAAAATCGATAAGAGTAGGCTTTGGCCGCCACCCGGGCAAAATTCAAATCTTCCTACCAACTAAAAATATTTAATGTGTCCTGTGCGCTTATATGAACTTATGCAGTTGCGAGCGCCATAAGACACTAAAAAACAACAACAACAACAACACCCCCCCCCCCCTGCAAATAAAATAAACAACAACCCATTCCAAGGGTGTGTTTTCTTTTTCAAGGATTTCGTTGAATAGCAAAGTAATATCTAATAACCTTCTTTTCATATCGTTTTAAGCATCTCAGCCCTTAATTCTATCTTCTCCAGGACTTTTGTTGCTTTTCATTTTTATGACTGTTGTTAAAATTTCCGGAATGGTTATTGTGTCCCTATTTATGTTCAATTCCCTCATTTGTTGTACTTTGTCAAACTTGAATTCATTTGGTGGGGGTGGGCTATTTAGAATCTCTTGAAAGTGTTCCGCCCATCGATCTTTTTTGTCTTCTAAAATTGTTGCCATGGTGCCGTCTTTCTTTTCTACTAGTCCCTCTGACGATTTTCCAAAGTTTCCAGCTAGTCTTTTTGTAATCTGTTACAATTCTCCCATGTCGTTCCTGTTTGCTGCTTCTTGAGCTTTAGCAGCTTGTTTTTCTGTGTATTTTCGTTTGGGTTTTTTTCTTGCCTTTCTTTTGACTTTTTGGTCCTGTTCTCTGTATTTTTCCGGTGCCTCCAATTTATCATTTGCATCGGCCTGTAGCATCTTTAGTTTTGCTTCATTTCTTTCTCTTATCGCTTCCAATGTTTCTTCTTGAATCCACTCCAGATGGTTTTGATCCATATCTAAGAACTTCTTCCGCGGTGGTGACATGTCTGCTTCTTTTATGGTTCTCCACAGATCTTCACATGCATCATCACTATCTTTATATACTGATAGTATACTTTCATATTTGTTCGAAAGTTTTATTATAAATTCTGTAGCCTCGTCTATTTTTTCAGTTTAGTCGAATCAAAGTCTTTTTTGGTGACTGTCTTCACTTGTCTTTTTAGTTTGAGTTTGATTGTTGCAATGCTGAGGAAATGGTCCTTTACTTCTTTTGTTATTTGGGCTAATTTGGTTGACTGGTTTTAAAGTTTCAGAGGCCTATCTTGAGATGTTTATTTGTTTTCAGAAGGGAACTCCTCGGGCTGATGCAGTCTGATAGAGAGCACAAAACACGGATTTTGTTGTTAAGCTGAAATGCTGTGTAGGTTCGACGCTGTTGCGAATTCGAAAAGAAGCGCGTCACGGTGTTCGATTCCAGAACTCACGTCAAAGAAAACTTATGAACCAAATCGAAATTACACACTAATTCAAACACTCTGTGTCACAGATGCACAAGTCAAGGTTGATTTGTCTGCTTGTCGTCTGTTTGGCACGTTCTGTCAATGGGGACTTCACATGTGACAACCCGAGGACCCCAAAGGCCGGAGGTAAGTAACTGTAACACCCCATATATCCTAACCCAACAAATGAAAAGGCCAATGCATTTTTACCTATCGTTTGTTAGGGAGCAGCTTCAATTCATCCAAAATCTATTTGAAGAGTAAGACGATCATAGAGCAGTCTACAGCGGCCAATACACCACACAAAATGTTAAATGAGAGACCAATATGTGAGGCCGCTCGCAGGACATCTTTGCTTGACTGTATAATCTATTTATGCCCCACGAGAAACTCGTTAGTACTGGCAAAGGCGAAGCGTTTTGTTTCAAGATTTCTGGTTCTGATGCTTACGGGCTCTTTAAGTGTCCTACTTCTCTCATATGGGACTAAGTGTCTCCAGCAGGTAATGACATATAGATTTCCATGTCCATACGAAGGTGATTTTTGAAAACCAGTAGGAAAGGGCGTCAGTTGTTTCAATAATTGTACGTGTGCGTGTGTGAGTGAGTGTGTGTGTGTGTGTGTGTGTGTGTGTGTGTGTGTGTGTG